CTCGCACCGAGTATTACTACAACTACTGGAACTACCCTCGACTGCCCGACAATCGGGAAGTGTTGCCGACATCCATACGCCAGTGGATCAACTCATACAAAGACCCGGAGCGTGAGTTTTGCAAAGTTGTGGCCATCTTTCTCTTCTCGTTCATAGTTTCGCTTCAAATCTTCTCATACGTGGTGTCGATGTTTGATCTCAACCTAAACCTTCCCTATTGTGGCGAAATTAGAGGTCAATTAGAGTTTGAGTGCCACTTATGGCTGTTTCTGTTTGCATGGATCGCCTGTTTTGTCTGTACGGCCGTCGTATTGGTACTCAAGTACGCGATTTGGTTGTGCCGGTCGTACACCACCACCAAAGAGAAGACCATTTGANTTAGAGTTTGAGTGCCACTTATGGCTGTTTCTGTTTGCATGGATCGCCTGTTTTGTCTGTACGGCCGTCGTATTGGTACTCAAGTACGCGATTTGGTTGTGCCGGTCGTACACCACCACCAAAGAGAAGACCATTTGAGCGACAAATGTCGCGAAACTGATCGCACAGTTGTTTCATTTACTGTAAAGTACTATACGATGTATTTATACAGTAGTACTGTATATGCAGTCAATCTAATGTTATATTATATTTGTATTATAAACTTGAAATTATATTTTTAAATTATTTAATCAATTAACAATTTTATTGATAAACTCTTGTAAAGTGAGAAATTAATTAACAAGACTATTTTGTGAAAATAATTGCAAACTTATGAGCGCACACATACACTCCCCGTTCGCTATATTTAATAATATAATCATTTGTAATGATTTGTAATAATTGTTATGCTTATAAAAATTGTTATTATATTTACATTAAGACAAATAACTGTTTGATTAACATTAAGTTTATATTTTATAAAGATTTATGAAAAATTGTAATTTAATTGTTAAAATAATTAATACTGTTAACATATACAATATTTAAATAAACAAAATTTGCATATTTTCCAAACATTTATAAACTGTTTTGTGTGTTGTAAGTTAATTATATTAATAAATGATCTTAATATTAGTTAGCATATGAATTAACACTTATTGATGGGAAAGGGATGAAACTGCCTGTGAATAACTGGGCGGTAATTCATACTTAGGAGGCAATGAGAATTCCGACGGACTTAACGATAACTGGGAACCGTTTCGGACGGGTGTCCTAACATTAACGGGTACTTCGATATTATAGACACTACTCTGTCGACTGCTCACCTGTCCGTCCAATTCAATGAATGAATCGGTTGTGCGGTATTTGTGAATACAATACTCGCAAAGAAATTTCAAAAATATAATTATGAGTATAATTGTGAAAAAGTATGCAAAATATGTGCTCCCCGGTTGCACTGACTTTGGAGACATAAGAAAAAATATTATTACAAATATAAGGCTTAATATTTTTATTAAACTCCCATTTGTTTTGTTCTGATATACGTTTAGAAATGTCGGGGAACTGGACCTATGAATAAAAATTTAGAATTAAAAATAGATTTTTAAGATGTATTATAAGAAAAACACAGTTAAACGACAATCATATCATAATCTCTTTTAACATCTTAGCCCTGATAATGGTCTCAGTGTAGACCGAAAACTATTATCTTAAAATTTTTTAAATGCCTTTTCACTGATCAATAAATTATTGAAACACTAAACTCTTATAAAAATAAAATTTGAGGGAATCATGAAATTCTATAACAAAGGTTAGAATTTTATATTTCGTCACTTATTTTGATTCTGGATTTTCATGAGAAAATGAGTTAAGAGTTTATAATTGACTCAATGAATGATTAACAGCTCAGCCATTTATGTCAAACAGAATATTCTTAATTCACTTACAACTTGAACACGTAATCCTCTGAAGTGATTATAATATTTGAATATCACTTATGAAATGATTCATTTCACTAACATAAGAATTTAGATAAAATTATAGCAAAAATAACTATATATACTATAAAACATTAAAAAATATATTTACATGTGGTGGGCACCTGCACCATTCCCTCGATATACCAAAACAGGCATCAGATGAGATGGTAACTCAATAATAAACACCAAACAAGTAGTTACTGTATGTGAGAACTGGATCTAGACTGTTTTCATTAACTCTAGTAAATACAAAGACTTTAATAAACAATTGTTTTGAAAAATATATATTTAAGCAAAACATTGTGGGCTAAAAAGTCATAAAATTTATATAGCTATTACATGTGGATTACGTAATATCTTATAAACAGTGGTCTTAAATGAGAGACAGTTCTCGTATATGCAATGAATTAATTTTGTGAGCCTTTTAAATGTTGGCGTCATTTGTAGGGATCGATCGCAATGTTTTCCAGACCTCATGTAATCGCATGTGGAAAATGAGATTTTTATTGATTTAGTTTTAATCTACTCATTGCAACACCGCTTTCATTATAATTATTCACTGTTTTTCTCTAAAACACTGAATTCAATTCAGAATCTATTAAAGCGTTTATAGAGAAAAAATGTTTTGTTTTTTGTTTTGCTTTATAAATTTT